TGTGTGTCTCTCACACCTCCCGGCCAGCCCCGAGTGACAATTTGACGTTTCCTCCCCCCCTCCTCCTCCTTTTCTTTTTTGGCAGCCCCGCCTTTAATCCCATCACGTTCGCTCAGCTCCCTCGGCCGCTCCGAACTCGTTTTTCAGCTTCAAGGCCGAATCTTTTCCTTCCCCGGAGCTCAAAGAACCGTGAAAACAAGCCCTCCTTTTCCCAGGGAGGGCCCCTTGGGAGCGAAATCCCATCCCAACCCCAGGCAGAGGCTGCTCGGGAATTCCCAGCGGCGATCCCGGGCGGGTAAACACCGGGAATTCCCAAAGCCGGGAATAATCCCTGCCTGCAGAGGGAGATTCGCTGTCGGGGCCGCAGCGATCCAGCTGGAGCCTCCCCGGCAGCGTTTTCCCTCCTGGATAATCGAATATCCCCTCGGATAATCAGATATCCCCTCGGGAAAATCAGATATCCCCCCTGGATAATCAGATATCCCCCCTGGATAATCAGATATCCCCCCCTGGATAATCATATATCTCTCGGGATAATCAATTATCCCCCCTGGATAATCGGATATCCCCCCTGGATAATCGGATATCCTCCCTGGGATACTCAGATATCCCCCCTGGATAATAAAATATCCCCTTGGATAATAAAATATCCCCCCTGGATAATCAAATATCCCCTCTGGATAATCAAATATCCCCCTTGGGATACTCAGATGCCCCCGCTGGATAATCAGATATCCCCTCGGGAAAATCGGATATCCCATTGGATAATCAGACACCTCTCGGGATAATCAATTATCCCCCCTGGATAATCAATTATCCCTCCTGGATAATCTGATATCCCCCAGATAATCAAACATTCCCCCTGGATAATCAAACATTCCCCCTGGATAATCAGATATCCCCCCAGGATAATCAGATATCCCCCCTGGATAACCAAATATCCCCCCTGGATACTCAGATATCCCTCTGGATAATCAATTACCCCCCCATGATAATCAAATAACCCCCTGGATAATCAGATATCCCATTAGATAATCAGATATCCCCCCTGGATAATCAAATATCCCCCTGGATAATCAAATATCCCCCCGGATAAAGGGATTTTCGGAGCCCTGCTGGGCTGCTCTGCCCTGTGGGGGTTTTCTCCTCGCTGGTTTTGGAGCTCTGGGGGCCCCCTGGATGTTTTTTTTGAAGGACGTGCAGGGGCCTGTCCTGTAAATGAGTTTGAGCTGCAGCCACGTGCAGGGCCGGGGGGGGGG